CGAGATTTGCGGGAGCAAATCCGCCCGTTTGTATGCGAGAGAGAGAGAGGGAAAAATGGGGGGAAAGGGGGAGGGGATCACGGGGAATATTTCCCCCCACTTTATTGCACGCGGGAACGGCCGGAGGCGGCGGGATTCGCGGCGGCGGCGGCGCTAGGCGCGGGCGAGGCGGCGGGAGCGGCGGGAGGAAGGAGATGACGGGTGGGCCCCACCCGTCAGCGAGGGTGGCAGGCGGACCCGCCCGTCAGCAGCGCACGCGGGGAGGGGCCGTGTGGGCCGCGAGGGAAGAGGAGAGAGGGGGAGGGAAGTGGGCCGAGCCGGCCCAAGAGAGGGAAGGGGGATTTTTAGGGTTTTTTTTTATAAAACCTTTTTAACTTTGTTTATTTCTTAACAATTATTATTTGTGCTATGAAAATTCCACTAAAATTTATTTACATATTTTAGGCTTTTAGGAAATATACAAAAATCCTCTAAGCCTTATTTGACTTTTACTTTGCACATTTTAATTTTTGGAGGCTTTCACACGGATTTTAATTATTCTAGGCATAATTTAGAGAATGTATTTTAGGGTCGTTTTGGGACGTGACAGTAAAGGGTAAGCCTAACCCGTAACCCTAACAAATACGGCATATAAAAATTGTTAATAAAACACCAAATAGAATCCTAATGACGATTAAAAGGAGGGACGTCAAGCAGGCCATAAAGCAAACAAGTAAAGCGGTTGCCGGGACTTCTAGAAAGTATAAAGAAAAAAAATCCACATTGATAATCATTTTCGATTTTTAAAATCTCAATGACAATAAAAAGGAGAAGCAGCGAGCGGGGTGTATAAGAGTATAGTTGCAGAGCCTCCGACGGTTGACGGGACTTCTAGAAAATAAAAAATGAATTGCAACGATAGTTATGTTCGATTTTTAAAATTACAATGGCAATAAAGAGTAGGCGGCGGACGGGCTGCAGAGGGGCATAGTGGCATCGTTTGATGAGACTTTTAAAAATTATAAAAAATGAAACTACAAGTCTAATTTTTAAAGGTTCGGAACTTCTAAAAAGTAAAAAATACCAATGATAATCATGTTCAATTTTGAAATCTCAATGACAATAAAGAAGGGAGGCATCGGGCGAGCCGTAGAGGAGTACAATGGCAAAACCGCTGATGGTTTGGCGGGACTTCTGGAAAGTAAAAATGAACCCAAACTATAATTATGTTCGATTTTTAAAATCTCAATGACAATAAAAAGAAGAGATAGTGGACGAGATGTATATGAGTATAACGACAACGTTTGACGGGACATCTAGAAATTATAAAAACGAAACCCAACGTGACAATAAACTCTAAAAACTATAAAATCCAATTTTTAAAGGTCCAAGAATGAATAGAAAAAGTGATAGATCGAGCAAACAAATAAAGAATGAGATGACATAAGGGGTAGCAACTGGTGTGATTTTTAAAACTATATAATTAGAAACATGAGGATGAGGATGATAAGGTTTGGTCTTTCAAAGTGTTAACAATGAGATAGCTATTTAATAAATTTCAAGGAAATCATACTTAAAAAAATATATGATTTTTTTGCTAGCCGCGCAATTGCGCGGGCCACCCAGCTATTTATATTATTAAAACAGCTTTGAAAGGAGGCACCACGTTCGCTCTGGGGGCTAAAAATTTTCACATTAATCGGAGAAAAAGAAAATAAAATAAAATGAGAGTCCAAGTAGAAGTACAATCTAAAAATAATTGAAATTCGGAATTAAAAATAAGCAATATTGAAAATAGTTTCTATATAAGACCCCAATACGAGATTAATCAAAATTCGAAATGAAATAAAACAAAATCCAAAATTAGAAAAGAAAAGGAGAGTCCAAGTAGAAATACAATTTAAAAATAGCTGAAATTTGGAATTAAAAATAAGCAATATTGAAAGAAGTTTCCATATAAGAACCCAATACGAGGGATTAATCAAAATTCCAAATAAAAATAAAATAAAATCCAAAATTAGAAAAGAAAAGGATAGTCCAAGTCGGAATACAATTTTAAAATAGCTAAAATTCGGAATTAAAAATAGGGAATATTAAAAGAAGAGTCCATATAAGAACACAATGCGAGATTAATTAAAATTGGGAGTAAAAATAAAAATAAAATCCTAAATTAGCAAAAAAAAAGAATAGTTCAAATCGGAGTACAATTTAAAATTAGCTGAAATTCGGAATTAAAAAAAAGCAATATTGAGAGAAGACTCCATATAAGAACCCAATACGTGATTAATTAAAATTCAGAATTAAAAAAATAATATCCAAAATTAGAAAAATTAAAAGAAATTCCCACATTAATCGAAGAAAAAGAAAAAAAAAGAAAAGGAGAGTCCAAGTATAAGTACAATTTAAAAATAGCTGAAATTTGGAATTAAAAATAAGCAATATTGAAAGAGGTTTCCATATAAGAACCCAATACGAGATTAATCAAAATTCGAAATAAAAATAAAAGAAAAAGAAAAAAAAGAAGAGTCCAAGTAGAAGTACAATTTAAAAATAGCTAAAATTCGGAATTAAAAATAAGCAATATTGAATAATTTTCCATATAAGAACCCAATACGAGATTAATCAAAATTTGAAATAAAAATAAAATAAAATCTAAAATTAGAAAAGGAAAGGAGAGTCCAAATAGAAATACAATTTAAAAATAGCTGAAATTCGGAATTAAAAATAAGGAATATTGAAATAAGTTTCCATATAAGAACCTAATAAGGAATTAATCAAAATTCAAAACAAAAATAAAATAAAATCCAAAATTAAAAAAGAAAATGAGAGTCCAAGTAGAAATACAATTTAAAAATAGTTGAAATTCGGAATTAAAAATAAGGAATAATAAAAGAAGAGTCCATATAAGAACCCAATACGAGATTAACTAAAATTCGAAATAAAAATAAATAAATCTGAAATTAGCAAAAGAAAATAAAAGAAGAGTTCATGTAGGAATAAAATTTAAAATTTGCTGAAATTCGAAATTAAAAATATGCAATATTGAAAGAAGAATCCATATAAGAACCTAATACGATATTAATTAAAATTGAGAATAAAAATAAAATAATACCTAAAATTAGAAAAATTAAAAGAAAGTTCATGTAGAAATACAATTTTAAAACAACTGAAATTGAAAATAAAAAACAAAAACATTCAAAGAATACAATATGATATTAACTAATTTTTTTAAAAAAATTCTGAAATTTAAAAAAGAAAAATAAGATATCAATTAGGAATACAATTTATAAATAACTAAAATTTGTGATAAAATAAAGATTATTGAAAGAAAAGACCATCTAAAACACATGACAAAAGTTCATGTAGGAATACAATTTTAAAACAACTGAAATTGAAAATAAAAAATAAAAACATTCAAAGAATACAATATGATATTAACTAAAATTTTTTTAAAAAAATTCTGAAATTAAAAAAAGAAAAATAAGATATCAATTAGGAATACAATTTTTAAATAACTAAAATTTGTGATAAAATAAAGATTATTGAAAGAAAAGACCATCTAAAACATATGACGAGATAAATTAAGTAACATGCCTATAAAGGAGTAGAGTGGTGGCGGTTGATACGAGATATAAAAATTGTTAATAAAACACCAAATAGAATCCTAATGACAATTAAAAGGAGGGACGTTAGGCAGGCCGTGAAGCAAATTAGTAATGCGGTTGCCGGGAATTCTAGAAAGTAAAAAAAAAACTCATTGATAATCATATTCAATTTTTAAAATCTCAATGACAATAAAAAGGAGAAGCAGCGGGGGTGTATAAGAGTATAGTTGCAGAGCCGCCGAAGGTTGACGGGACTTCTAGAAAATAAAAAAATGAATTCCAACAATAGTTATGTTCGATTTTTAGAATCATAATAACAATAAAGAGTTGGCGGCGGACGGGCTATAGAGGGGCATAGTGGCATCGTTTGATGGGACTTCTAAAAGTTATAAAAAGTGAAACTACAAGTCCATTTTTAAAGGTTTGGAACTTCTAAAAAAATAAAAAAAAAACAATGATAATAATGTTTGATTTTAAAATCTCAATGACAATAAAGAAGGGAGGCAGCGGGCGAGCCGTAGAGGAGTACAATGGCAAAGCTGCTGACGGTTTGGCTGGACTTCTAGAAAGTAAAAAATGAACCCAAACGATAATTATGTTCGATTTTTAAAATCTCAATGACAATAAAGAGAAGAGACAGTGGACGGGCCGTAGAGGAGTATAATGGCAACGTTTGACGGGACATTTAGAAATTATAAAAATGAAATCCAACTTGACAATAAACTCTAAAAACTATAAAATCCAATTTTTAAAGGTTCCAAAAAGAATGAATAGAAATAATGGTAGATCGAGCAAGCAAATAAAGAAGAAGATGACACAAGGGGTAGCAACTGGTATGACTTTTAAAAACTATATAATTAGAAACACGATGATGATAAGGTTTAGTCTTTCAAAGTCTTAAGACAATGATATAGCTATTTAATAAATTTTAAGTAAAATCATACTAAGAAAATATATAATTTTGTTTGGGTGCTAGCCGCGTAATTGCGTTGGCCACCCAACTAGTTGCTTATATTTTAGGACGGAGGTAGTACCCTATAAACATATACTTCATTCGTCCCATAATATAAGAGATTTTGGGTGGATGTGAAGCATCGTAATACAATGAATCTAGACAAATGTTTGTCCAGATTCATTGTACTATATTTGTCACATCTACCACCTGATTCCACCTGTCATACACACACTATGTCTTATAGTCTACGCTGCAGCTGTCTATAAATCTGTAACTCGCTACTCTTATCTCTTCTCATCTCTTCTCATTTATATTATCGATATGTGTTTATTATATTATCGATGGTTTATAATCTAGAATTGTACCTGCTCTGACATGGTCCAAAATCGTACTATGGTAACAAACCATGAAACCAAGTCCAGATATCTATGCTGATTCGATGCACACAAGTACAGACTACATTGCATCCAACATTTCCTCGTCTTTCCATTGCATTTTGTGGAGAGATACAAGCCTAGATTACATGTAGTTAGCCTATGGCAACCCCTGTCCGAGATTCAGGTTGATAAAAGGCAACATTGACAGCCACTCAACTCTGAACGTATTCGAGTTGGGGATAAAATTACAGGCAAAGTAAAAAAAAAAGTACAAAAGTTGTTATCTTACAGATTATACAATACTATATCGACGAGTAAAAACCAGAATTGCTCTTCCATTTTCTGGAAAACTAAAGTGGTCTCGAGCAACATCCTAACAGCAGGACATGCCTCTTCTTCCCGCCTTAATCTCATGTCAGATTTGTTATTTGTCACCTACGAATAGTAGTACTGTGGCGTGACGTGTCCGTGCGACGAGTCAGTTGTCACAAGCACAGCCTTGTCAGCTCACCGTCGGCGACGGCCTCCTCTCCTCCGGCGGCCTCCGATCGCAGCAGCTCGCTCTCCGCCGCGCACCTCTTGTACGGCATGAAGCCCCTCTGCAGCAGGGTGACGGACGCCGAGCTCTCGCACTTGGTCAGCCGTGGCGAGGCCGCCGCCTCCCTGCTGTTCCCTTGGCCACGGGACTCCGCGACGTCCGAATTCTGAGCCGCCGCCGCCGCCGCCGGTACCGCCGCCGACGATCCAAGCACGACGCTGGAGGCCGTGTTCGAGCCCGTCAGCGATCCTTCCCTCTGCGAGACTCTGAACTCTACGCCCTCTGAATCACGGTGGCACTGCTGGTTCGCAGCCGCCGCCGCCGCCGGGTAGAACAGCGCGCATGGAAGGCTCCCGTTGTAGCTCAACCATGGCATGACAGGTTGCGCGGCGAAACCATCCGATCGAGGAAGGAAGTAGAGAAACTGTTGCATGCTGCTCGGCCATGGATTCGACGAGCTCCCTTCTGGGGCAGCAGCAAAAGAAGGTACTAGTATGTTTCTGGTTGCTCTCTCAACTGAACCACTCGTTGCAATGTTACTGCCATTAAGCAGGTGCAGCTGGTCTGAATCCTTAACCACTACGCTCTTTCCGAATAGCCTGAAGACTGATGCTTCTGAGGATGCTTCTTTGGCATCCGTGGTTGCAATTGACATCTGAAATTCACATTCGAAAAACAAAAACAGAATTTATTAAGGGTGCCAATAACACTAAAAGGGTATGGTTATTTTTCCATTGGCGACAATAGATCAAATTAATACCATGTAAAACTGCAGATGATCAGATTGCATATCACAATTTGATTCAGAGATACTCCTACCTAAAAGGCTAAAAAAACCTGTGTTTCTCTGAAAGTGATGTCAGAAATTCTCGACTGAAATTATTGGTCCTAAATATTGCTTTTCTGATGGGGAATATCTTGTATTCTTGCAAAATTGGAAGAACTAATGCCTTACAAAGTTGTCCAACATGTGCTGCCCACGAAAGAATATACCTTAGTATTTGGCGCCTGCATAGCCAACTCAGCAGTCGGGATGCTCGGTGAGAGGCACCCGTCCTCTCTGTCCACCGACGACGCCGGCGAGCCGCCACCGTCGACATGCTCATCCGTACCGGCGGCTGACGGAGCCAGCGACCCGCTGCCGCTCGAGTTATTCGAGAACCCACCGCCCAGGGCCTCGGTGCCTATCTGCGCCGCCGTCAGCACCGACGTCGGCGAGCCCTCCTCCTGCTCGGACAGGGACTGCATCCACAACGGCGGCTTCTCCAGCTGCCTGAGCGCCGGGACGTGCTTCTTGGCCGCGCCGTCCACCTTGCGCGGGTACGGGTGCGCCGGCTTCCTCTTCGGCCGCGGCGGAGGGATCTGGATGGCCGCCGCCGCCGCCGCGGCGGACGCGCCGCCCGAGCCGGTGTTACTCCCCGAAGATTCTCTGACGACCTGCAGAGCACCGCGCAATCACAGCGTCAGGAAACTCTGTGAAACAACCCGCAGTAAAAACATGACATCATCTGTTCTTCTCTCCCATGAAAAAAAATTGAAAAATTGGCGACTTACTTTGGGCAATCAAGTAACACAACCAATGGTTTTTTTTTTTTCGTTTGTTTGTTTTTTCATGGCAGAGATCAGAGATTTTTTGTTGTTGTTTACATGAGAACGAAAGGCTGTACGACCTTAGAGAAGAACTTCTGCGCGTGGCTACGGATTTGCACGGCAGTCTTGGTACCTATGTGCTCTGCATCCACACACAGACGAACACAAACGTTACGGCACACAGGCGAATACGGACAATTGCGATCGATCGCCATGAAAATTCGATCTGTTCGATGAGACATACCTTGTATACGGCGCCATGCGCGGCCGTGCAGCTGCAGGGCTTCCAAGAACAGCCTGTGCTCCTCGTCCGTCCACTTCTCGCGCTGCTTCGTGATCGTGTACGGCTTTCGCGCCTGGTCGGGGGCAAGCGTGCAAGGAAGGAACACAATCTTTTAAGAGGGAATCGAGCAGCCAACGAACTCAAGCACACAAGAACCGCACGGGATTTTGCAGCGGAGAAGCCGCGATTCGGGGGGAGGAGTAATTTACCTTTGGCACGTGCTCTTCCCCTGACAAATCCATGTCGCCGTAGTTCATATGGCTCCTGAGATGATCCACGGTGCTCTCGCCGCCGGCGCGATCGTCGGCACCGTTTTCGTCGGTTGCCATGGCGTTTCCCTGAATAGCACAGAACGGCCACAAAAAGAGGGGAAAAAACAGCACACGGTCAGTTCCCAGTAACATCATTTAATCCGAAAAACAAAGTTCATTCAAAAACGATCTCGCCAAGAAAAGAAACGGAAAGATCAAACTCAATTTACCGGCAAACAGGCCATCTCCATTCTGAAAAAACCGAACTCCTCCCAAACCAAACCACACTCCACAGGATCGCCACACCAAAGCCAAAAAATCAGCGCCTCCCAAACCCCGCAATCTTTGCGAGTTTTCTCCTCGATGTTGTTGATGAGGACGACGAGATGGGGGGAGATGAGGAGGAGAAGGGAACGAGGAGGCAAAGAAGCGAGCGTTACGTAGGCCCCGTCGCACTAGGAGGAGGGAGGAGGGGACGGGAGAAAAAGAGCATGGCGAGACGCGCCACGTAGGACTCGATTTTTTCCGCCAAACTTTTTCCCTCGTTTTTTTTCCCTCTTCTCTTTTCTTTTGGCTGCGTTTTTTCCCCGTCTCTTTTTCTCCTTTTTCTTTATTTTTTTCCCCCTATACCTTCCTCGCGCGAAAAGAAAAATAAATAATCCGGTGGGGGAATTCGGGAAGCCGCTCGTTCTTGTGGCTGGGGATGCTCCTCCGGCAACCTCGCTGTCATGTGTTGCTAATGCGCCATTAGTAATTGCCCCCGCTCACTAAACTTGACACGCGAAGATAACTTGCAGAGTAGAGTAGTAGTAGCGACGAAAAAGAGTATTCGTTTTCGATGACGAGCATCATGTGAACATTCCTAAATCACCAAGGGCTAAATCTTATCTCCCCAAGATTAAAAAGGGCCACCTTATCGTGATGCCACGTCAACATGTATGGCAACACAAGCAGGAGCAGCAGTACTCTCTTTTATCGAGCCTCACAGAATACGGGATTGCTAGCTAGCTACTCCTACCTTATCCTGCACGGAGTACAGATACAGATCATCGAGGAATTGGAGTATTTTCCTAGTAAAAATCCTTTTGAAAATCCGAGGAAATATCTCAGCCTCTAGATTTGGAGCGGCATGCGGCCGCAACGACCGACCGCGCTCGTGTGGACGGGTCCGGTCGCAAAGATCGCCGGGTGGGGGCGAGGACTTTGGGACTTTCGCTGCGCTTTTTTGACACGTCAGGCCACGCCGCTGCTAGCGACCGACCCGAGAGGGGAGCCGCAATCCACCACCGAACTGGTGGTGTCCGGGGCCGACGCGCGTCGCGCCTCCGGAAGCCGCGCGAGCGGGGAGCGGATAGAACGATAGTAAAAACCAAGGCCGCCTTTCCCGGGTTGCTACAAATGGGCGCCTCCTGGCCACAAAGGTGTGGGGCGCGCGCCAGAAAATTCACGAAAAATCGCTGGCCATGTGTTTTTGTTGCTTTCTTTTCTCCCGGTGGATGACGCGTGGGGCCATGGCGGGACTCGTCCGAGGCGCAACATGTGGCAGTGGTTGTCTTGGTACAGGGGCACAGGGGTGGGCCGTGGGGTGGGGGAGGGGGATGACGTGGCGGGGAGTAAAGAATAGCGTCGTGCACTCGGTGCTTCGTGGGCTCTCAGTCCTCAGACGGGGACATAATTCGGTCCACGTCATCAGATTTGTTGGGATGCAGTTAATCTGGATGCACTTTTGCTGTAGTCCTACTCCCTCCATTCCAAAATAGAATAAGTTCACTTCATGACCCTCAAAAGAGACCCGAATCTAATCCATGATCTTAAACCGCAAAACCGGATATCTTCACCCACAAACTATTGAAACCGGTGCAATTTGACTCCCTTGGTGGCTTTGGAGGGTGGTTTCGCTGACGTGGCGCTGACGTGGCGGTGTTGACCTAGTCTGTGTGCTGACGTGGCACTGTGGTGGCATTTCAATTAAAAACATATATGTGGGACCTATTTGTCATTCACACACACAAGATTGTGAGGCCCACTGACATGTGGGCCCTACCTGTCATCTCTTCCCTTTCTTCTTCCTCCCGGACCTCCCCTCCTCCTCCCTTCTTTCTTTCTGTTCTCCCTCTCCACTTCGGGCGTTTGCGGGGAGCGAGCGGCGGTGGGCTGGAGCTGGCAGCGGGGGGCGTGGGCCGGATTGGTGGCGGTCGACGAGAGCTGAAGCGGCGGCGGGCTAGAGATGACGCGAGAGAGGACGGCAGCGCCGACGCCGACGAGATTGAGCGGGGGCACGGTGGTCTACAGGCCGGCTACGGCTTCGGATCCATCCGCATCGCCGGGATCAGAGCTCCTCGTCGCCGTCCTCCACCACCTCCCCGCATCCATCCTCGCATCGCGCGGGACGTCGACGGCGGCGGTGGGCACGGGACGTCGACGACGGAGGCATCGAGTGGCGGCTCCGGCGGCGTGCGGGCGAGCACGAGTGCGGGAGGAGGCACCGGCGGCGACAGCACGAGCTCAGCGGCTCCGGCGGCGTGCGGGCGAGCACGAGTGCGGGAGGAGGCACCGGCGGCGACAGCACGAGCTCAGCGGCTCCGCTTCTCCCCTCTCCCTTCCTGCCCTCACGCGCCGCCGCCGCCTCTCGTGTAACCCACCACCTCCGTTCCTCCCTTACATCCTCTCCTCTCCTCTCTCCACTTGGCGAGGCTGATAGCGAGGCTACCGCCGCAGCCGCCGCTGCTCTGGCCCCGCCGGCCGGCGCTCCAGCTCCAGCCGCTCGTGCTCCCCGTGGCCAGCCGAAGGGGAGAGAAGAGAAAAAGAAAGAAAGAGAGAAGGGAGGAAGAAGAAAGGGAGAGAGAGGATGACATGTGGGGCCCACATGTCAGTGGGCCCCACAATTTTTATTTTGTGTGTGAATGACTAATGGGTCCCACGCATATTTTTTATTTCTAATGCCACCTAAGCGCCACGTGGAAAGAAGACCGAGTCAATACTGCCACGTCAGCGCCACGTCAGCGAAACCGCCCTCCAAAACCACCAAGGGAGTCAAATTGCACCGGTTTCAATAATTTGGGGGTGAAGATATCCGGTTTTGCGGTTTAGGGTCATGGATTAGATTCGGGTCACTTTTGAGGGTCATGAAGTGAACTTATTCCTTCCAAAATAGTGTAGTTTTGCATAGTTCATGTTCAACGTTTAACCGTTCGCCTTATTTGATTTTTTTATGATTAGTATTATTATTATTAGATGATAAAACATGAATAGTACTTTATGTCTGACTTTTTTTTAAAAAAATCATAAATTTATCAAATAAGATGGACGGTAAAACGTTGGACACGAATATCCACGGCTGTAATTATTTTGGGACGGAGTTAGTACTAGATTAACTTATTCTAAAACAGAGAAAGTACTCTCTAGTATCATAGGACTACAACTATCTCAAAATGTAAGCATTTTTTTTGTTGACATAGGCATTAAAAATGTTACTCACTCCGTCCTAAAATGTAACAACTTTTGGCTATTAATCTGGACAATATAGTTTGAATTAGAGGATGGTTGTAATTGGTTGAGAATAGAAAATACTACCTCCGTCCTAAAATATAACAACTTTTGGCTATAAATGTGGATACACAGTTGTCCAGATTCATAACTAAAAATACTTATATTTTAGGACGGAGGGAGTAGTGAAGGAAAATAGTTGTGAATAGTAGAAGGGAGGAGATAGGTATTAAACAGATAACTTTATTTTGGAATAATGTACTGTGTTAAAAATAAACTATATTTTAGAACGAAGATAGTAGAACGAAGATAGTAGTACTTTAAGCTTATTTTGGACAGAATAAAATGGAAGGAAACATTGTATGGCTAAATGGTCAAATGATTAAAAGTATATTTCAAGCCCTATCAATTGGTTTAATAAGCTAAAGCAAAAGCTAAAATTTAAGTTGATTTTAAGATATTTTTAATGTATTTTTTTATGTTGGCTTTTAAGTCGCAGAGCAAATATACAATTTTTTACCAATAAATTAATTTTTATTTCTTAATAAAGTTGTTTTAACTTATTAGAAAATATGGCCAACCGATGATTCTTTTCATCCACCCTACAAACGAGCCGTTCTACCAATAAAAAAAGTCGCTGGAGTAGTAAATTTGATCGGAGAAGTGAGACCATTTATCTATTGGGGCATTTGCAAATTTGCCACCGGTTTTTTGAATATTGCAAGGATACCACTCGAATGACAGTTCTAGTGGCATTTTTGCAATTTTCTAGTGGCAGTTTTGCAATAACGATTCAAAGTAGTGGTAAATTTGCAATTGCCCCTTATCTAGTCTATTCCGTCAAGTTATTTGGCAATGTGTTTTAGAAAGAATTTATTAATTAATTGCATGCAATGATTCTGTATAACCTGATGAGTGCGTGTAGACTTGATAAAATGGCAACTGAATCGAATTGACGGGAGCAATTTAATCATTTTGGCATGAAGATAATTTTGCTGAGGAATCTAAAAACATCAAGATTTTTGGGATAGAGGAAGTAAACGAACAAAATAGAATTAAAATAGCACCTTAAAGATTCATATGCAGAACGTTTTTTTTTAACTTTCGCAGCATTAAATTATAGCTAGAGCGCGTATTCCTATTATCTTCCGTTTTCAGTGGAAAAGAACACATCCGGGATGCAGGTGCATGACAGGTGACAGCCGAAGAGCAACGCACAAGGGAAAGCTACGAAATGGTGACCTCCCATCAAACATGGGCCGTAACCCGTCACCCGTGTATCTTCCATCTGCGAGTTTGCATCGCTCTGAAAAGCAAGACGTGCCTAGGCAGTCATGCCGAATACGCAGTGATCAAAACATGACGAGAAATCAGAAATATCCCACTCACCGGAAGGAGGCGGCTCAATGAATGCGTCGAGAATATCTCACCCATTTGCGCCTGCACGTCTGAAGAAGAAACAAAAGCACCTCGTGATGCTGCCTGGAGTATATATAAACGGCACTTCTCCAAGATATCGAATGGTACAGGCAGATATCTTCTAGTATCTGCACCCGTTGCTTTTATCACAACAGCACATGCATGCACATAAAAAAAACGGGTAGTCAAGCACGTACTACTTGCGTGTCCCGCGGTTTGGGCTGTTGGCAATTGCCATGTGCTTCCGCAGTTCCACGATATAGCAATATCGAATAGAACGTATCCTAATAGCATGAATCTGGATATACTCCCTCTAAATTTATATGATTAGAATAAGTCTCATCTGATTTTAAATTGCTATATTCTAAAACGGAGGAAATTATGAATACTAGCCTACCAAATACTAGGAATACCAGTAGTAACTCAATAGTATTTCCTCTGTCCTAAAATATAAGCATTTTTAGCACAGTGATAAGTCAAACATTTTTAAGTTTGACTATTAATAGCAAAAAAAAAAAGAGTAAAGAACATCAATCATATAAAATTGATGTTACTAGATTTATCAATAAACAAACTATCATAATAT